AGCTGAGAACTTGATGGCTGCAGAAAGTCAGTAATAGGAAGGTAATGACAACTGTTAACTTACGACGTTACCTGCTATCAACAAATGGTGACTGGATAGCTCGTATCACCTGGCCATCCATCCCATATATTTCCTGGCATGCATATAGCAAGCTGCGCGAGATCCGGCCACAAGTATTCTTCACGTCGACAAATCACATGTAAACCGAATGAACGAACTGCCACGATTTCTCGACAATCTCACGTGAGGCGAAGATCTGGTTAGAGCTGCTTCGTCGTGAACTGAAGCCACGCTGCTTACGTTGGACCTTAAAGTCAGCTACTTCGCAGCACCTCCTTTCCACTACACTACGCAGACTTTGACCTGGAGGCCCGATAAGGCAATGCCCTAATAAATGGGGCACTTCCTGTGGTCTCACTTCTTGAACATGGTATCACAACCCCCACCCTCCACTTCCAGTGGTGCCTTCCTTTTAACAGACAAGTGCTAGCCACAACATGCCTTGTTCGATTTACGTTTTAAGCACTTCAGGGCGGATTTTATCGATTTCAGCAGTCTTGCCAGTTTTAAACCAATTTACTGTTTCTGTGAAAATCGTCTAGCGAAAGACTAATATCAGGGATTAAGGAGTCCTCAAAGTACTCTCTCAAACGCGGAGGTATGTTCTCATCCTTGGTGAAAGGGCGTCGGTACTTTCCCTACAGGACTTTTAGAATGCCTCTATTTCAGTCTCGGAGGCGGCGGATGATCTGTCATAATACCTTGTCTGCTGTCTGGAAATTCGGAAATAGCACCTTATTGGAGATTTCTCAGGAATAAGCTTAAGCTGTCATCTTTCGCGCTTCTTTATACTGCATATGAGTTTAGCACTCTTTGTTATAAGCTACCCCGGAATACAGCATATTGTTTTCTTTACACTGCCAGCCAGTTAGACCGCTGGTGTCCACCACGAAGTTTGTTTCTGACCCTCAGGCGGAAGGCCAACCCGTTTAAAACCGCAGCAATCAGCAGCAGCCCCGATTAAGCTGCTCTTAAAGAACTTTCATTCAGTTTCAACATCAGCGGTCATCACTGAGATCTATTCAAAACGCCATGCGATGTTGTTTGCAAGTTTCAATCTCACATCTGCGTACATAGGGTTTCCCATTTGATTCTCTGGTTGATCCTGTCACCAAACCATTGAGTGGCACTTTACTGTTTACAGTGGAGGATGCCAACAGTAAAGTGGTGATCGGCTAACAGCTCTGCGCCTCTCTTAAAACGATCATTCATCTTAACGAAACTGAGATTGACATATTGTTTAAATACTTTATTGCAGAATCATGGAGTACACCGCTATTGCTGATTCAAAACAATATCCACAACGGTACTACATCTCAAGGAGGTACACCACTTGTAGCAAGAGTTAAAACGGCACGTGGTTCGTCGTTTTGGATGGCGAGTCCGTCCTGGTCTCGAAATCGTGGTTCTGACTGAAGAAGCATAACTGCGTGAAGTTGTGTTAAGGCTGCAAGTACACATATAGTACACTGAAATAGTTTAAACGTTTTGTTTGTAACTGTTTGTTCTTAGATTTCCTTACATTTTCGAGATTGTATGCCATTTTTGGTGCTATTCTTCTCATAAAGTTTACAATGAGACATTAATCTCCGTACTGTCAGTCAGGAATAACTCAATATTCTTTTCGTCCCATCGACCACTATAAAGTGTGATCTTTCATTTCCTTCCTAAGAAAAGTATTTATTTATAAACCTCGAACGGAAGAGGAACGGCAAATGGTCCTATAGGGGCTTGAACCCGTGACCTCCCGGTTCCGAGTTCGACGCTCTACCGAGCAACCCGGACAATCTATATAGTACAAATACTAATGATAATAGCAATTCAGAAGTGATCAAGTTTATTAGCGAATATTTACCCAAATGTAATAGAAGTTTACAAAACCTTTAGTTTTTAAAAACTTGCAGGATAAATAGGAAATTTCTTTTGTAGCACATCTACTAGGTTTGAAAGTTCAAAACTTCAAAACTCCGCCATGGCCGGTCCCAAGCCCGGATGAGAAACTCCGCCATGGCCGGTCCCAAGCCCGGATGAG